AGCTCCCGGGGCGGCTCTGCCTGCGGCTGTGAGGAGCCGCCCCGGCTTCCAGACTTCACTCCTCATTCTTACCTGCTCTCCATCCTGGATTTACCCTGGTGTTTCTCTAGACGGGCTCCCTATCTGCACAGCGGGGCTGGTTCTAGCTCGTGCTTCTAGGGACGTCCTCAGGCGCATGTGGGATAAGACCTGACAAGTGTGGGAGTGATGTCACTGGTAGGGGATGCCTCCAACCCCATTTTTTTGTCTTATTACCACCCTAACATCAATTTCTCTCCTGATCCTGGCCCATAGTCCTTACTTAATGTCACTGTGCCCGTGTGTCTATGTGTTTGTGTGTGTGTGTGCGTGTGCTCTTGCACACGTATAAGCCAGTGCTCACTCTCTGTGTCGCCTGCAGAAAACTGGCCCCGCGTGGGATGGTTGTGCAAGAGCTTCCTGAGGTCTGAGGGTTTCTAATTTCCAAAGCAAACCTGATGAGAGAGGTTCAAGCCTTGGCCAGCAGGTCAGAGCACTGTGACTCCAGGCCATGCAGGTGGCAGCGGCTGGAGCTGGGATCACAGACCCACACAGTCTGGTTCCACTGTCCACACTCAGAACCACAGTGCTGGGGGCAGGGAGGCTGTCCCCTTCCCGGGCACACGGCCTGGCAGGGTCATCTTCTCTGGCTGGACACACACTGGTCCAGGGACAGATGGCAGTTGAAGGGTTGCTGTCACCAGAGAGATCTGACAGTCTCACCTGGTGCTGCCTCTATGTTCCTGTCCTCACATCCCTCCCCCCAAGTTCCAGCCCCAGTGTAACAGTCACCTTCCCCAGGAACAACAGGATTTGTATGCGCTGGAGTAAGGAGATCCTCAGCCTCGGTCGGAATTCCTCGGTAATCAGTTCCTCCCAGTGATTTCATGAGGAACGTGTATCAGATTTGATCTAATCTCATAAGTGCCTAAGGTTCAGTTGGCCCCAAGCTGCCTTCTGGAACTCTCCTCCCACCCCTCCGCCATCCTTGCAGCATCTCCATCTCCCCACCTGCTCAAACCAGAACCTGGGGCTCTGTCTGCTCCCTCTTTCCTCCTCACCCCACATGCAGTCAGCTCCTCCCCGTCCCTGGGCCCCAACTCCAAATGCATTCGTCACCTTTCTGCATCTCCCTCCCCCTCCTGTCCAGGCCACCACTGACACTGTCCTGGATGCATGCTCTTTGCTTCCCTTTCTCACTCTCTCTGACCCAAGGGAGGGATGTTTAAAAGACAGATCTGTTCTTGTCACTCTGCTAACACCCAGGAAATCTCTCAGAGGCACTTTGGGGAAAAGCCCCAGTCCTCAGCCAGACGTGAAGCCCCTCCTCCTGCCAGCAGCCCACCTGGCCTTGCTGCCCTCAGTCCAGCCACTCTGGCCTCTGTCTGTTCTTCCAAGGACCACCCCCTGCCCCACCTTCAAAAGCCCCAGGCTGGGAGCCCATTGAGCTCATTACCTGGATGACTTCTTCAGGTTTATCTCAAATGCTGCAAGTTGCTCTGCCCTGGCCCTCAGTTTCTCCCCCATGGCTTTTTCCATCATCCTGGGAGTCTTCTTTGCAGTGTCCTGGGCCCCAGGGTTTGCCTGGGGAAGTTGAAGGAGCCTGGGATCCTGGGAAACCTCCCGGTGCCTAGCCCTGTGACTCCTCCTGCCACTACCTTGCAGGTGACCCCAGAGGGCTCTGTCACTCCTTGTCAACCTGGTAGAAGAAGCCTTGCAGACCTTCAAAGCCCCTCTCCTTGCTAGTTTTTCAAGGGGAATTCAAGAGGGAAAGCCAGAGCGGTGGGCGGGGCTTTCAGATGCTGACCCGCCCATCACAAGCCCCTCTCCTTTTTCAATTTCCTTGGTTGGTCTTTCAGGGCTCAGTGCTCAGAGTCACCTGGGGGCAAATCCTCACTTCTTTTGTTTTACTATGTGGCTGCTGCAAGTCACCTTGTTTTTTTTCTTCAACATGCCTGGGACTACTCCAGGCACTGGGAATACTGCGGGGAATGAAACCTACAAAGAGCCTGCCGGCTCGGAGCTTACAGCCCAGCGTGGGGAGAGTGACCATCAGTATGTTCACATCTCTGTTGGACCTGGACCCCTGCCCCCTCCCTCCAGCTGCTACCCCATCTCTCCTTCCCTTTAAAGATAACACTGTCAGAGGCTTGTCTAGACTCTGCTCCAACTGCTCTGATGGAATTATCTGTCTGTGAGAAGAGCATTCTGGGTGAAGCAAATAGCAAGTGCACAGGGGTGTTCAGGGGGTTCAAATAGTCCAGCTGCTGGGGTGGGTGGGAGGGCAGCAGGGGTTGTTGCCGAGTCCAGACTTTCTCTGCCCACCACACGACATTCCAGTAAATTGGGAGGTGAGTTGTTGGGGCAAGAAATAGTGACTTTATTCAGAAAGACTGCCAACCGAGGGGATGGTAGACTAATGTCTTGGAGAACCATCCTGCTCCAGTCAGAATATAGGCTCCTTTAATACAAAAAAATAGAGGAGGGAGTGTGGTTCATTGTTGCAAACTTCTTGCTGCAGGAATTCTTTGTTCTTGCAGCCATCCACGTGGGCCAGGTCATAGTGTCCCTGTAACCTTCCAACAAAACAAAGGCTATTCTCTATT